TGGGAGGTGAACCAACGGAAGGAAGACCTTTCTCTCTGTCTCTCCCTCTCACTGTCTGGAACTCTACTTGTCAAATAATAATAAAAAAAAAGAAATATAAACTTGATAATGCTCCTCCCCCTTCTGAAATCCCCTTGACATCTCTGCTCCTTCAGGATACCACTGAGACTCTTTGATGTGGCCCATGCTGGCTCTCCATGACAAAGTCTCGGCCTCCCTGGCCAGACTCATCCCTTATTTCCCCACATTGTGCTATTCTTTAAACAATAACCTGACTGGGTTTCCATGTGCCTAATTGTCTCTCTTACTATAGTTTTGCACTTGTATTCCTTGCTTGATATAATCTACCTTCCAATTCCCCTCCTGGCTTTGAAAATCTCCTTCAAGGCTCAGTTCAAGGGGTACCTCTGGCTCCTTTCCTGATCTAACTGCTGTGGAGATGCTGTCCCTCTCTGTCCCCCTACCCCTTGTACCTCCCAAATTCTTCTGTGACTCCTGTTGCTCTCTCAGCCTCTCCATATTGTGAGCTCTAGGGTTCATAAATCATCTATGTCTCCCTGCCGAGCACAGTGCTGACTGATGCAATGGTTCTGAGTGACTCACAGAACTGTAGGGAGAACCTCAGTGTAGGGATGCCCTCCACAGAGATTTAACTGGATGTCCATGAAAGTCTGCTTCAAATGTCAGCCTCCTTGGCCGGCGCCGCGGCTCACTAGGCTAATCCTCCACCTAGCGGCGCCGGCACACCGGGTTCTAGTCCCGGTTGGGGCGCCAGATTCTGTCCCGGTTGCCCCTCTTCCAGGCCAGCTCTCTGCTGTGGCCAGGGAGTGCAGTGGAGGATGGCCCAAGTGCTTGGGCCCTGCACCCCATGGGAGACCAGGAAAAGCACCTGGCTCCTGGCTCCTGCCATCGGATCAGCGCGGTGCGCCGGCCACAGCACGCCGGCCGCAGCGGCCATTGGAGGGTGAACCAATGGCAAAGGAAGACCTTTCTCTCTGTCTCTCTCTCTCACTGTCCACTCTGCCTGTCAAAAAAAAAAAAAAAAAAAAAAACAAAAAAAAAAAACAAACAAAAAAAAACAACCTAGCCTGATTTGATTGGCCTTTAAAAACTCAACCACTTAGAGAGAGGGCAGGGGGAGGGTGGTGCAATAACACCATGTGCTCCGGGAGCTGGATTGCATTCTAAAAAGCAGCTGTGACTGTGAACAAAACGTGTTTAATTTCATTGCCCAATCATGGAGCCCCACAGCACTTATTCTGGTTCTAGCTTTTCAACAGGTATGTGTCTAGGCATCATGTGAGACCAAGCTTCAATAACAAGATTATGTGGTAGCAAGACAAATCAGCAGTGGCTGACCATACTCCAGTAACCCCCACCCTACAACACACACACACACACATACACACATACACACACATGCATTTCAGGTTGATGAAGTACCCGGGGGCTTTTAGATAAATGTTTGGAAGGGCCTTAATGAGGGAGATTCTGGACCACTTGCCATTAAGCTAGATATGTGCTTGAGTGAAGAGAGCTGTCTGTGGCAATATGTCAAGTTTTGAGCAATATGGAGGATTCCTCACAGCAATGAGGAACCCAGAACCCAACCAACTGTCCCTTGCAGTCAGATGCTCTACTGGGTGGTCTTTCCTGCCTCGAAAAGTGTGCTCCGCAACGGGCATCTGGGGCAACAGTTAGGTTGTTCCTTGGGATGCATGCCATATCTGGGTGCTTGATTCAAGTCCTGGCTCCTTTACTTCCAATCAAGCTTACTGTTAATGTGCATGCTGGGAGGCGGCAGGTGATGACTCAAGTACTTGGATTCCTGTCCCTCATATTGGAGACCTCAACTGAGTTCAAGGCTCCTGGCTTTGGCTTGGCCTAGTCCTGGCTGTTGCAGGCATTTGAGGTGTGGAGCAGTGAGTTGAAGACCTTTGTCTGCCTCCTGTCTCTTTGCTTTTCAAATAAAATGGAAATAAATAAAATAATTTTTAAAAGTATGTTCACTGACCTTATAAGCCAGCACTATAAAAGGGTTCCAGGTGAGGTTTGGCTAAACAAGGATGCTGTTCTTGGATGTCAGAGGATACGCAGTCTCTGTTTTGCTTTGTTGTGTTTTTAATTTTGTAGCTAGAATGAGATTACCAAAATCTAGAATTAGGGTGCATAGCGGTAACTAGGCTCTGGGCCAGAGCTACAATGACACCTTCTCAAGCTCAGCAACTCAGGCCTCTTTCATCTTTATCTTTCATTCCATGGACTCTGTGATGCCACCCCTGAAACGCATGTATGAGCCCATCTGAGCCCATTGGACTTTAATGGTTAGTTTACATGCTGCTTCCTTCAATTGGTAAGTAACCCCCCATTGCTAAGTAGCCCCCCATTATGCCTAGTCATTTCATGAAGAATCCCAGACATGTGCTTCTCAGCCATTTTTTAAAAGATTTATTTATTTATTTGAAAGTCAGAGTTATGGGGAGTGGGTGGGAGGGAGAGAGAGAGAGAGAGAGAAATATCTTCCCTTTGCTGATTCACTCTCCAAATGGCCACAACAGCCAGGGCTGGGCCAAGCTGAAGCCAGGAGATTGGAATTCCATCAGGGTTTCCCACGTGGATGGCAGGGGCTCAAGCACTTTGACCATCTTCTTCTGCTTGCCCAGGAGCATTACCAGAGAACTGGATTGGCAGTGGCACTTAACATGCTGTGCCACAATGCTGGCCCCTGATTCTCAACCATATTCAATGCACACCTGCTTCTTTTCTCCTTCATGTTCTCTTCTGTGCATTCTCACCAGCCCAGTGGTAGGCAGAATGATTTACCATGCCAACTGCACACACCCCCTGCCCCCGCAGTTCTCTCAAGAGTACTGATTTCTTCTGACTGATAATCTAACTGGCATTTGCTATTTTAAATAAATGTTCCTCTTTTCCTGGCTCTTGTTCCTTTTTGGGCCAAGGCAGTGGCAACCTAGTGGCCACCATGTGGTTTTGTGGCAGAAACAGAGGACCTAGAGACATCTGAGCCCAAGGTCCAAAGCCTATGGTTGGGGCTGGTATCTGTGATATATCTCAGTGAAGTTGGGAATCAGCAAGATTTCAAAGGAAAGAAGAAGAGAAGAGGTGTTTCTGCTGCTGTTTGTGCCTGGTGCGGTAAATAGGAAAGGTTCTCCTTGCAAGTGTACCAAGGGGATAGAATTCTGTCCCAGCGGGCTTGGAAGCTCTGGGGTAAGTGGTCATGCTGCTTCTTGTTGAGTGGCAGTGAGCGTGGGATGGTGGATCCAGTGGATGACTCCAGTTTTCCAAAATCACACTGCCTCCAGATAGCTGCCCAACCCCGAGAGACTCCCAACTCCTTGGCACAAATGCTTCCAGCCCAGAATTGATCCTTTCAGGAATCTGAGGTGTGTCCTGGAACATTCTACATTGTTGTGAGCAGATGTTTTTTGAAGAGCCATCCCTAGAAGATCCAGCCTAGAGACAGCGCATGACTCACTTTATAGGTGGTGGAAGGAGAGGGTGGCTTCAGATACCAGCTGTAGAAAACACTCAACAACCTTTTTTTCAAAACTCTGTCTCTCCCAGCAGCAATAACAGAGGAAATTCTCTTCTAGAATGGCCCCATTGTCAACCCTTCCAGGCTAAATCTCCATGTGTCCTCATGCTGTATCACTGCTCCTGGGGGCCTCAACACGTTGTGCCCACAGTGGAAATCCAATCAGGATTAATCACTGGTGGTGCCTGGTGCTGGCACCATATGCTTTACATTCTAGCTACTGTGCCCAGCATGCTCTTCTTTTGTTCTCCACATGCTCCTGGGGTTCTACCACCGCCTTTCTGGTTTCAGAAATCCTTGGCTGGAGCTCTGTGGAAAGTCTAAAGACTGAAACAGGAGGTGACAACACTCCCCAACCCAGGAATTCAACATGTATCTTCTGTAGATGCAGCCCAAACTCTATCCAAAGACATGGTTTCTGAGCTTGTCTACCTGGTGGAAGTCCCCTTCTCTACTGCCCCAAGTTTCCTTCCTTTTTCTGTTGAAAGTCCCTTCTCCTCATGGTCATTCTGCCCCCAACAACCAGGATGCAATTCACCAGCTTGTGCGCCAATCATATTTTCTCTACCAAGGACCTTTCTACCACTTCTTACTACAGTGTCCAGGGAAAACTCTTCATTAATTTCCTTTATGATTCCTCTCATTTTTTAAAAAGTTTTATCCAGTGAATCTTTCTATTTTGTCTCACATTGCTATTTCCAAGCCAGTGCTTACAATTTAACCTTTAACTGTGGTTCTGTTATAGAAAATGTCAAATATACACAAACACAGAGAGAGAAGTAGAATGAACCCCCACATGTATGACCCAGCTTTGACAGTCATTCATTCATGGCCAATCTTGATTCAAATGTACTCCCAGTTCCCTCCTACCTCCTCCCCCATCACTACCACTAGTTTATTTTAAAGCAAATAAATAACATAATATCATTTCACCTATAAACAATTTAATACATATATATAAGACATAAGGGATCTTTCAAAAACAAATATAGCCATAATAACCATATAACACCTAAACAGCACCAAATATCTGATCAATATTCAAACTTCCCCAGTTTTCTGATCAACATTTTTTCAATTTTACCCATTTTAGTAAAGGCACAAATAAGGTACACACACACACAATGTTTGATTCATGTGTCTCATAGCTTTTTGGAAATGTCTAATAGTCTTCCACTTTTTACCCCTTGCCACTTATTTGTAGAAAAAAAAGTAAGATTACTTGTCCTGCAGAGTCTCCCTATTCCTGATTTTTCTGATTGCTTTCAATGCTGTGTTGCACATGTCTCAGTTCTACCATCTGTAAAATGGAGATAATACCTGCCCTGCTTACCTCATATCATTGTCATTAGGATCAGATAATATTGTGTATGTCAGGTTGTTCTATTCAACAAAGAGACTGTTTTCTGTAGTGTTCTAAAAGAAAAAACACTTCACATACCAATGCTTGCATACACATTTATTAAGTTGCAGCCAAGTGAAATGTGTCAACTCCTCCTCTTGAATACAACCTTCTTTATTGGTGTGTAACAATACCCAAGGGCTGGAGGCACCACATAATCAAAATCAAATGCCAGCTTTTCACAGTCTTGGCTGAAGCAGTATGGTCTCAAACACCATCGTATGCTGTGAGGAATCTGAGCATTTCATAGTCTGGCCTTTTAGTGTTCTTGACATATATATTTTAATATTGATGCTCATTGCAGATCCACATAAAAGAAAAACAAAAAAAGAATAAAAGCTCTTATTCTAATTCAGCAGAAAATGGAGCTGTCAGTGTGAGGGACAAGGCAATATCAAAATGCAGCTGTTTTTCATCCATAATTACCTACATAAGAAACATGCTGTCATTCTTAGGGGCTTTAATAATGCGTGCACATAAGCAATAGCATGATCTAATAGGAGGCAGTTTCACCCAGCACCTTCTTTTTACTCTGGATCCTTATCTTCTTCTGAAAAATGGGGGACAGACTTCTTGGCAACAACATTGTCCAGTCTCTGCCCTTGTAGATATGGATTGACACTCTAGAAAAAAAAGTTTGGTATTACAAATGAACATCCAATGCAGGCATTTCACAGAAAAAGTGAATAAAGAATTCGTTTTTGCCTATTGGATTACTACAGTGGAACCTACTACCTACCAAATAATTTCTCTAGTGCACTAATGAGCATCTAACTGGCCTAAGGATTATTGTCTGACAGATGTCTCTAATTGTCTCTTCTTTGCAACTACACAGTTCTTTGTAAGATGCAAGGTGATCTTTTTAAAAATTATTTTTAATGAAAAGATTTGGAGTGAACCAGCCAACAATTCTTGCTACTAACTTAGATCCCAAGCTCCATCTGAACAGAAAAATTAATCTGTGGCCCTATTTGGATGGGAGACGAAATCTGAAATTCATTAAGTTGTTTTAGAGTGTTAAGAAAATCGGAATAGGGCCAAAGGAAAGTTAGCACCTGAAGACTGGTCACAGATCATCTTTGTGCTGTGATTCCTTCTTCCATGTCAGTATCCTGCTAACGAGAATTCTTTCAGGGCTCTAGCAAATATTTCTACCTTCCCTCAAATTCAAAATCTGAAGATAAGAAGGAACTTATCCAGAATGCACCTCTGTTTTTGACTCCATGGTTTGCAATCTCTTTCATCTGTTTGTATTCTGAATGGGTCAGGGTTTTTCCATTCCTTCTCTAACACACATCTATTTCTTGAGGTTTGGAATTGAACCTGAAATTGAAGCTTTATAACATAGTTTTTAGCAAGCAGAAAACATTCCAAGATTTTTGGAAGATATTGTTTATGGAAGTTGCCTTCCAATAATGGAACAAAAATGTAAGAAAGAAGCTGTTTTAGTTGTAGATGGTCAGAAATTCTGTTGCACGCTAGCTCCCAAGAATGAATGAGTACAGAATGCTCATTACATGTGGAAGATGGCCTGGCATGAATCCTTTGAAAAGTGAGCATTCTCCAAAAGAGCAGGAATGGGACACGAGTTTAGTATTTGTATATGTCCTTCCACATTCTGACTGGTAAAAACATGATTCATGAAAAAACTTAACTCATCACAAAGAAGGTAAGAATTACAAAGTGAGCCGGCACCGCGCCTCACTAGGCTAATCCTCCGCCTAGCGGCGCCGGCACACCGGGTTCTAGTCCCGGTCGGGGCGCCGGATTCTGTCCCGGTTGCCCCTCTTCCAGGCCAGCTCTCTGCTGTGGCCAGGGAGTGCAGTGGAGGATGGCCCAAGTGCTTGGGCCCTGCACCCCATGGGAGACCAGGAGAAGCACCTGGCTCCTGCCTTTGGATCAGCACCGGCCGTGGCGGCCATTGGAGGGTGAACCAACAGCAAAGGAAGACCTTTCTCTCTGTCTCTCTCTCTCTCTCTCACTGTCCACTCTGCCTGTCAAAAAAAAAAAAAAAAAAAAAAAAAAACAAAAAAAAAACAACAACAACAAAAAAAAAACAAAGTGAACCATGTCCCTGTATATCTGAAGACTTATATGTCATAAAAAGACAGTACTTTGCTAGGAAGTCCTCTTTAATATATTTAAGGCAATAAAAATTTTAGGCCCATTTTCCAATGAACATTTTGAAACTTGCTCATACTTATTTCCAGGAATATCAATTAGCGTCATCTGGTCTACCCATGGGGATCATATCATAATCTGCGTAGTTTGAGACTGAAAAAGTATGTTTGATACCATAAATACTTGCTTTTATATAGTAGTAATATTTATTTTGAAATTCTATTATATTAAAAGAGATGTTCATTTTATGAAGTAAATAAGGAATTAAAAGGTTGATACACACAAGGCCAGAGTTGTGGTCTAGGAGGTAAAGCTGCCATCTGCAGTGCCCACATCCCATAATCCCATATGGGTGCTAGTTCTTATCCTGGCTGCTCCACTTCCAATCCAGTTCCCTACTAACGGCCTGATAAAAGCAGTGGAAGATGGCTGCTTTGTACTTGGATGCAAGCATTGTATTTGGAACACCTGGATTAAGCTCCTTCTGGCTTCAGCCTGGCCCACTGCTGGCTGCTGCAGCCATGTGGGGAGTGAACCAGTAGATGGAAGACCTCTCTCTCTCTGTCTCTCCTTCTCTCTCTATAACTCTGCCTTTCAAATAAATCAATAATAAATCTTTTTTTACTTTAATAAATAATTCAAATAAGGAAAATTGTAGATCTCAAATATTACAGAGATTCAGCATAAGAGTCAAAAAATTTGCAAAGTTATTTTAAGGAAAATTGCCCTTTTCTTTGTAAGGCAGTTAAGAACTCAGTGGGATTTAAGTATAGAGAGTCACATAAAATCATCTGGGGCTCTTGATCAGTGAGTTTCATAGGAGAAAGCCCTTTTTCCAGACTCAGAAAGTGCAAAGGGTTTGGTGTTAGACGGTAGAGGGCAGAGGAGAAAATGAATGAGAAAGAAACAAGGGTAATTACTTGAACTTTTTCTTGAGGTTTAACTCTTAGTGTTGACTTCAACACTTAGGAGTAGTAATAGTAATGAACATTGGGCTTTTTATTTTTAATTTTTAGGTATTTATTTTATTTGAAAGGCAGAGACCAATGTGTATATGTGGAGAGAGAGAGAGAATCTCCCACAGACACACAGAGAGAAACGGATCTCCCTTCTGTTGGTTGCACTGCCCAAATGTCCAGAGCAGCCGGGGCTGGGCCAGGCCAAAGCCACGAGCCCAGAACTCAATCCAGGTCTCCCACATGGGTGGCAGGGACCAAACTACTTGAGCCATCATTTGCTGCCTCCCAGAGTGCACATTCACAAGAAGCTCTGATATGAAGTGGAGCCAGAGCTCAAACCCAGGCACCCTGACATGGGATGTGCTTTCATAACGTCCAGGCCAAATGCCCACCTTATTTTTAAGTATGCTCTAAGGAACTCAAGGCATTTAAATATTTGTCTTCTTCCTTGGGTGAGAAACTGATTAGGTTACACAGAAAACAATATTCCCATTCCACAGCTGGAAGAATTGGACCCTGGCTTGGTGTCCTTTGGAAACCCAAAGGAGACACTGAGCTTTCCTGGAGGAAGCCTTGATTTTTCATGAAAGCTGACCTGCAATTTCATCTTGATTCCTACCATTGAGGAGATGATTAAGGAGGTAGCTTCTGTTTCCCTATCAGTCCAGAGAGGCCCATGATTTATGGCATGAGAATAGGTCTTTACAGAAGCCTGAAAATAGGAAGAACTTGATACCTCTGGGTTGAAATGACCTTTATTTTCAAAAATTCTAAGCCTTTTCTATGTGGAGGAAGTTGAGGCTGAAGCAAAATACTTTATAATATGTATCTTAGCCAGAATTCTGAGTTTTGGCAATCACTGGTCTCATGGAAAAAGGACCTAAATTGTGATCCATGGTCATTTTCTGACTCAAAGCAGAAGGAATGGTGGCCCAGGAAGTAGAGGCAATTAAAGCTTCATGAAAAGTTACTCATTTTGGGTCAGTCATTGGTCTTATTTGGAAATGTCCTTGTTGTATCAGGGGTGATATTCAAGCCATCTTACTGGCAAATTGTGTGTATTCTGAGATCCTAGAATAGAATTTCTTGATGTTCTCTCAAGAACACACTACACCCTTCAGGCCCTTCCTGTCACTGTCTGCCATTGGAAAGTGTAACCGCCAAGAGAAACCCCTAATAACTCCTCAACTCTCCCAAAGGAGATCTGTTTCCAGACGTGAAAGCTTCCTGCTTCGCACATGGAACATCAGTTGTGGGTCTTCAGTGTCTTGTCGGCAGCACAGGGGCTTGGAACCCTCTGTTGTAGGATTAATGCTGAGGCCTGAAAACACACAGCTCTCAAAGCACTTTCTGACTGGATTTGGCAAAACTATTCAGAATGGCTACAGTTATCATCATCTAGATTCCCAGATTTTGCCAGGATCTGGGCACTTGCTATTTGGAATACACAGTGTCCCTGGATGCACAATTTGGCTTGTAGGTTTTAGCTAGAGTGGTTACTGTCAGCCGTACTTCACTAATAGTAATAGCAGCTTGTGGTTGTCCCTCCATCTCCTCAGAAAAGGCCGGTGGACAGGCCTTGATGTCTAATAAGGTACCAGTGGGTCCATAGAAAGGACCCAGATCACTTACCAAGTCTCGATACCATAAAATGCATAGGAAAACCAAAGCAAATTTGACATTCAGCTTTACATGAGGCAACATTGTTTTTATATTAGTTAACGTAGACATCCCAGACCACAGTCCAACCCAGATAGTTCTGGGATGGCCAATAACTGGGCCTACAAACAAATTCTGCCAACAAATAGGATAGATCTAGTAGGTTATATATCAACATGGCTAGGCCAAGAAAAACGATAGGTAGGGGGAATGAGGTTTGTTCATCACATCTTTTTCTTGTCACTCCTTCAAAATTATTGCCTACAGCTTGAGGTTCAGCACTTCCTTGTGTTTTTATATAATTGGGACTGATGAATGAATGTTTCTCCTCACTGGCCTAAAGATATACCCTTCTGTACTCCCAGAATTTCCCACACATATGTGAGGGATACACCTTTCCCAAATGTGATGGAGGTGATGGATTCACCTCAAAACCAAGTGTTCCTTGGCCGGCGCCACGGCCCACGAGGCTAATCCTCCACCTGCGGCGCCGGCACACCAGTTTCTAGTCCCGGTCGGGGCGCTGGATTCTGTCCCGGTTGCTCCTCTTCCAGGCCAGCTCTCTGCTGTGGCCCGGGAAGGCAGTGGAGGATGGCCCAAGTGCTTAGGCCCTGCACTGCATGGGAGACCAGGAGGAAGCACCTGGCTCCTGGCTTTGGATCGGCACAGCGCACCAGTCATAGTGGCCATTTGAGGGGTGAGCCAACAGAAGGAAGACCATTCTCTCTGTCTCTCTCTTACTGTCTAACTCTGCCTGTCAAAAAAATAATAATAATAATAAAAGAAAAGAAAAAAAGTGTTCCACCAAGCTATTGATTATTGCAGAACCCAAGGGCAGACTCTCCGGCCTTGGTGCTCATCACCGTTCTGCCCCTCTGGGCTGCATGAGAAAGGACTCTGCTACTTTCCAACAACAAGCACCCCAACAAACAACCCAGTCAGCTGCAAGTTACCCTCCGCTTCCGTCTCTGTGCCCCCTTCATCTTCTCATACAGGAGTTTCTTGTTCTAGAATAGGGAGAAAAGAAAAGACAAATGTAGGAGTATGGATCAAATTTGGTGAACGTCTATTTTAAAAGCAATACTTGGTGAGTCCCCTGGATATTTGCATACACATATTTTGGAAACAAAACTGGATGAAAGGAATGTTGTGTCAGAAAGATAAACCACAAGAGAAAATCTGGTGGTGGTGCAGCTTTTAATAAAGTCCTCTGTAATGCCCCAAGGCACACCAGTGTCACCAACAATCACATAAACAGGAAAGTACGACATTCTAAAACAAGAGGGTGCTGGAAACCCATCTCCTCACTTTGAACAGTCGTTGTTTAAAATAAATAACTTTATCTCAGTATCTAACTCTCTTTTTTATGAACTGTACCATAAACTGCGTTCTACAGCAGTGTCTGCCTATTAACAACAACCCTCCGTGTAAATAAATGAGACATTCTGACTTCTGCAACCATCCCTTCTGTAGCTGAAGTCAGGGCCCCCAGTCAAGACAATCGGAAAACCATTTGGTTTATAACATTTTTAATAGAGTGAACCTTTTAAAAACTGCCAAAAACCTTCTTGGCAGAAAGGAAAGTTACGTTGAGGGGGAGAGCTCTGTTACCACAGTTTGTATAAGTGTTTCCACATATTGCTGTGTTTCAAACACACAGTGGACTTAAATGAGCTCTAGAGTATCAGACACATGCTCAGCAGATTTCCGTGCCATAGGATTATAAAAGACAGAACACTTAACCTGAAGGCAGAATGGGAGAAGGGGATTTGGATGTTTTACTTGTGTTGTTTTGTTTATTTGATTTTTTAATCAGAAGGGAAATAATGTATAAAAGAGGTGATTCATCTTGCACTAAATAAAACACCTTGACATTGACTTAGGGAAAAAAAAAAGAGGAAGAGACAACAGAGTTTTGGTAAGGAACAAGTTTATACAACCCTGTATCCTTCAAGCTGCCTGGCTATAAAGATTTTTTTAATGGTAGATTTGAAAGTGAAAATGACAAGTGCCAAGATAAGCTTCATCATTTTCATGTTCATTAAAATCCACCCCACCTGCAATTTACAACGTGTATCTCTTGCCCAACCTTAACTATTCAGGGAGGCTGTGCCAGAAGTGAAGGAGCCTCTACTGCCAAAAACACTGATACTGGCTGCAGTTTCTATCTCCCGCTCCCTTGGGAAATGGATCAACTTGCCATCAATAGGGAGAAATGGTAGATGTGTAGATCATTGCTTTGAGAAATGAGGATGGATATTGTGGCACTCACTCCCTGGGGCTGCATTTGTGTTTCTGTAAACTTGACACCATTGCGTGCATAATGTCACAGGGGTTCATGCCAGATATGCAGAAGGGTGACCAGTGGGGGAAGGAGCTGAGGACACTGGCTTCTTCATGTGCACCCTCATGTCCAGCTGCCTGAGCTGCAGGGGATGGGGAGGGGCCCAAGACTTGGTATTGTGGTATGGGCCTGCTACTAAGCCCTGGCAAATTCCACTGTGCCACCTGCAGTGTGAAGGCAGCATCATTTTAATTTCCTTTAGAAGATCCATAGAAGCCTTCATTAAAAAAGAGATGCAAAACGTCTGGCAACTCTTTCTCTCAAAGCTGGTCTCTGCTCTCCCTAAGAGCTAGTGTTAGAATGAGGAGGATATTGCTCTATTAACCATTGCTATTTTATGGATTTAAAGAGGAAGGCTGGCAGGTATGGCATGGGAACAAAAAAAAAAGGTATACAAAGTGAACGAGAAGAAAATGGTCATTTCTTTTGATGCTCATTCCCTATTGGTTTCTTGGGGGAGTGGTGAGCCTGTCCTCTATGTGAGCAGCAGGTTTGAGTTCATTAAAAGGACTTTGCCTTGTGCCTCAAGGTTTTGGACAACTGCCCAGGTCCTGGTTTCAAATTCCAAAATAAGAACCGAGGTGGGGTGGGGTTGGGGGGACCCTCTTTTCAGGAATGTCTGATTCCAGGGCTAGGGCAGGGAAAGTACAGGGATGAATGAAGCTGGACTATCTAATTAGATCCGAAAGTAAGCACTCAAAATAATGGGATTAAGTCAAAGGGAAATAAAGATTAACTCAAAGAGACTCCCACTGGCCAAATCTAGGACAGTTTGAACATCAAAATAAACAATAACAGGAATCCATGAATCCACACTGATAGTAAACAAAACATTCATAAATGAATAAGGAAGCAGGGGAACTCTTGCTTAGAGTAAACTGACATCTAGTAAAAGCAGAAAGCTAGTAAAGAAATCACATTTTACAACTACCACAGTTAATTCTGGTAAGCATTATTAATGGATACTAAATTTGTTGTTAAAAGTTTAATGGGGTACAGAATATTTATACAGTCTCAAAATACCTCCCCCTAGATTAACTGTTAATCTCAAAGGCGAAAACAGGTAATTGTTCACTGGAGAAACCTGGTGGAAACCACTTTAACAAAGTGAACGAAGTTAACACTACCAATCCTGGACAAACTGGCATCCCAGGCTTCCTGCTATAAAGTACTCAGAAGGCCATATCCAAGAAGGCATAGTGCATGGAAACCTGAGACAGACGTAAACTGAAGGGCCTTTGACTTTTTGGACACATTGGTCCCTGGCCCTCATTTGTCCCATGGCTCAGACTTTGGCTATGACCAGCTACTGGTGAAAATGTATGAAAAGCATTTAGAAAGAAGTGTTTGCCTTCGGAGGCAACTTTTTCCAAAGCGAATAATTCAGCAGCTAGCATATAAAGGAGGGTGGGGATAATTGCCATCTAGAGTGGCCAGCCTTCAGTTATAGCCCCTCAGTGTTGCAGATACACTGTCTGAGAGGCAATCAGCCTTAGGCAGGACTTGACAAGACCTCTGCTCAGGACACATGATCAACGAGCTCTGAAAAGACAGAGCATTTATTCAGTTTTTAAAGAACTCTGGAACCAGATGATTGAGTTCAAATCCCTGCTCTGCCAATCATTAGCTCTGTGTTGCTAAACAGGCTACTCTAATGCCTAATCTTGCATTTTCTCATCTGTAAAAATGAGAGCAATAAGGATGGGCAGATTGAATACGATAATTGAGGTCAGGTATTTAATACAGTGTCTGGCACATAGTATGTGCTCAGTAAATAAATATTACTATTTCCTATTGTGTTATATAACACCATTACTATTGTTATTCAACTCTGTATTCCCATTACCTAACACAGGGCCCAGAAGGCATATGATGTGCATTTAATAAATGTGTCTTGATGCATTAACAAAGAGAGAGGCATGCAGGAAACAAGACAGACGCTGATATTTATAATATGTGAATCATTGCTAAAGATGCAGCTCAGCTCCAGTTAATGTCAAACACAGGGAAGCATTATTAGCAAATAAGGAAGCAGGGTCTTGTGTGTAGTTCTATTGTGAAAGATGATTGCTTTGTTAACTGAAAAGATGGATGAGCTGAAGACAAGCATGAGACTATCACTCTACACAAATACTGAGGAAGGTTTATGGGCCCCAGCTTAGAAAAGCAATACATACTTAATTCACATGTCCATGTGAAGAGCAAGCAAACCATGTTTTATTGCTAGGTGGTAATGAGAAAATAAACAAGGAGACTTAAGTTTAAACAAATACATAATTACAGGTGATAAAAGATGTGTAAACATTGTCCCTGATCATTGATGTGTAATAGCACTTTCTTTTTACGTATAATCCTAACTTCTGGTCTTTAATTCTGATATAGGTGAAGACTAGGAATAAGTGAGAGAAACACAAGTCAGTGTTTAGAGAAGCAACTAAAAGAACGAAGGGCAGTGATTGGCCTTGCCCTGGAACGCTGGGAGTGAGTGAAACTTGGTGAGAGAAATCTGTAAATGTTTTCGGGAAGAGGAAAGTTGGAAAGAGAAGTTTCCATCTGTCCCATGCCATCACAGTCCCAACTGGGCTCTCTTCCTTCCAACTCAGACTTCTCCTTTGACTTCCTCAATGACTATTGTATCAAGCAGCTGTGCCGATGTGCTCTCCTGGGTCATTCATCTTTCTAGTAATTGCATCTGGCCTTCATAGTACAGCTAGAACTTGATGATGAAAAATGCTAGCTTTGGTTCATTTTACTTTCATGCAATTCCTCTCATCCACAAGACTGGAAGCTCTGTGAAGACCAGTAGCACGTCTTGATGCCTACTGCATTCTGAGCACCCATCCCAGTGTCTGGAACAAAAACAGGCTCACTATCTTCTTATTTGATACTTAATGAATTTAATCCTGCTTCTGCTTGACCATACTCTGCCCATTTCTTGTACAGCCCTTCCCAGTGCGCCTTTGTGATCTTTTACTCTTTCCTTCCCTCTCCCTGCTCCATTTTTTCTCTGCCCCCTCCCTCTTCTCCTCTTTTTTAAAATGCCCTCAGTGGGAAGCTCATGCCATCCAACTCATATAAACCAGGTATATGTCTATTCATCCTCATGCTATGAGTATCTTTATGCCATATTCCAATTCTAGTTTCCCCCTTTGAAATATTTTTAATTCTCATCCTTTTGCACATGTTCCTAGCCATCATAGCTAGAATTACTTCCCATATTTCTTCCTGTCTTTAGTCTCTTGTTTTTCCATATCATCCTTTAATATACCATCAGATAATTTCTTTTATAAACAGCTTTCATAATTCCAACCTCACATTCAGTCACATACAGATGCTTTTCCACTTAATTCAACATATTTAAACTCTACCAGTAGTCTTGAAAATGGCTCTACAAACCAATACTAGCTAATAGAACTGCCTATGAAAAAGAAGAAAAATAGAAAAATGCAAAATAGAAGTATTGTTGCTTTAGTGTCCAAAAGTGGGTAATATGTGTTTGTTGAAGGCAGAGGAAACTGACTGAAGGAAGTGGAAACAAGATGGTGGAAAAAAGTGAAAGCGGCCATTAATGAGGATGGACATCTTTCTCTAACATGGTGTGGGAGGAAGGCATGGGGTTTAGTTTTGAGGTTTCAGGATTCCCAATGAAGAAGGAAGCAAGGTCCTCTGCCAGAGACCTACTCACTCACTCATGCACTCACTTATTTACAAGAGTCTTGACTGCCTACTATCATATGGGAGTTAGCACTACAAAGTAGATCCCTACTTTTCTCAACTGGCTCCAGAATTTGATTCCATAGGTCCAACTACAGAAACCTAGGCATATCCCATTTGATTTTAATCTTGTTTGGTTCATTGTTGCAGCCTATTGGGATCATCTTGAACCCCAACTCTGTCATCTGGTGTTATCCATTCCACCTTTATGGTATTTTTCGATAATCTGATAAGTAGGCGTTCTATATTTTATTATAAACATTGGTAAAAACATGGAGGGGACAGTGCTAGGACAGGCAGGATCTAGGTGAAATCTCCTTCTCTGTTGACATGGATTCTTCAACAAGCTCCCTTTTGGTAATACTCTACTGCCTAGGCTGTATCTCTCTACCTCTTCCAATAGATCATAAAGGATCTTGTTAAATACTTTGCTGAAGTTCAAATACATCATACGTAATTTATTTCCCATGTCAAGCTGGCAAGTAAATGTATAATATTGGCAAATCAAAGAATACAATTAGATTGACAAGACTTGTTTTTAGTACACTGCTGTTAAATGGTTATGATTTATTTCTTTCTGAGTGCTTATAAACAACTTATAACTAAGCTCACTGAACACATTTTGTAATTTTTTTTTCCTTCCATAAAGTAGAATTGCATGTTCCTACATTCTGGCATTTTTTTCCCTGATTACACAGAGACCACCTCCCTTATTCTAGAGGTCAAATTAGCAATTTTCCTCAGGATCCTTTATTAAAAAATCACATAATTTGATAAAATCCTATATGATCTGCATGAAACACTCGTGGGACTTTAGGATGCGTTAAGGCACAAACTGTGTAGTAGGTCAGAGTAGAAGCCTCTGGAGACTGGCCTTTCTAGATGGGTTTGGTATATTGTTACCTAGTCACACTAGCTTTAATACTTAAAACCCCTCTCAACCAGAAATTTCTGGAAAATCATCTTCTAAACATTTTTTCTTCTCTCCGCGTACCCATACAGCTCATCTCTGCATCAGTGTCTTCAGAGTACCAAATACAAATGTACTAGCAACTGAGATTAGACTTACCCATTTGCCCAAACCTGGATAGTCATGTTCCGGATCAAAAAGGTGCTGGTGCAACTGGAATTCTCGACTGAACTCTGCTGTGTCAGGGGTGTTTTCTAGACATCCATCTTCTACTGCAAACAGCCAAAAGTTTATGAGGAACGGCCAACACATTTACCATTATTCTCAGAGTTAATTTATCAAAAGCAACTACATATCCAAAAGTTAGAATCCATTTCCATCAGCCACTCTAAGTCACTTTCCCTCTGGGATCCAGACTCCATGGTGGATGTGACTATTCATCCCTAATTCCCACTCCCATGGAAGACACTTATTGGCTGTGCACCAAACCCACTTCCCTTTCCTTTCCAGCACACTACTGGGCTAATTTTGAAACCTTGCTTTGCAATCAGGTGGAGTCATATGCTTGAATTTGGGCCAATAGAATATGGGTAGAAATGATGGTATTCCACTTCCAGCTCTGGCCCATAAACATCTCACATATGATGCTCCACACCTTCCCCCTGCCCCATTTGCTGATCTGTGTGCTACATGTTGCCATCCGAGGCAACTGTGAATGTCAAGTTTAAAGGTGGTAGTCAGGGTGCTGAAGCTTCCACCTTTACCACACTCTTGCCTACCTCTGGCAGGCTATGACATGAGTGAGAAATATATTTCTGTTGTCTTAGGCCACCAAAAATGTTCCATTTGTTACAACGGCAAGGATTTCCTTAACATGTTTTTCTGCTCCATAGGACTCATTGTTTTCTCCTGGGTGAGCTCCTTAGAAAGCACTCCTACTTCTTGGATAAAGTACATTATATAACAACAATCACCACATGGTACTTGACGTTGAGTGTTATAATGGTAATAGCTTGAGCTTTGGAGTCAGACACACTAGAACTCAAGGACCAAAATCCCAGCTCATGGGGCTAGCATTATGACCCAGCGGGTTAAGCCTGCAGCGCCACTGCCTGCAATGCCAGCATCCTATATGAATACAGGTTCCAGTCTCGGCTGCTCCACTTCCTAACCAGCTCCCTGTTAATGCACCTGAGAAAGCAGCAGAGGGTGGTCCAAGTATTTGGGTCCCTGTCACCCACATGGGAGATCAGCATGCAGTTCCAGGCTCCAGGTTTCAGGTTGGCCCAGCCCCTGCAGTTGCAGCTATTTGGAGAGTGAACCAGTGAATATATGATCTCTCCCTCTCTCTGTCGCCTCACTCTCTCTGTTACTCTGCCTTTCAAATAAATAAATCTTAAAAAAAAAAAAAACTAAAAATAACCAGGTCAGATCCCAACTCATAAGACATTGATGGGTTTAGTTTCTTGGGAAAGTTAACTTATCCTCTCTAAATTTACTTCTTAATCTGTGAGATGTAAATAATCTTACTTAAAAGGTTTTCTGTGAGGAATAGAAATTGTGAGAAAATGAAAATAAAAGATAAGTTTATTTTGGTGCAGAATTTTTTAAAATTCATACACAGTTAAAAAAAAAAGAAAAAAATGAAAAAAAAAAAAGAAATTTGGTTCACTCTCCAAATGCCTACAATAGCCAGGATTAGGCCAGGCGGAAGATGGTAACTAGGAGCTCAATTCAAGTCTCCCATGTCTGTGGTAGAAAAAAAGCCAATTACTTGAGCTATCACCACTGCTTCCAAGGGTCTTCATTAGCAGTAAGTCATAGTCATGAGTCAGAGCTGGAAATTGAACCCACACACTCTAATGTGGGACGTGGGTGTCTTAACTGGTGAAATAAACACTAAGCCAGGGGCTGTCACTGTGGTGCAGTGGGTTAAATCCCTGGCCTGCTGTGCCGGCATCCCATATGGGTGCCAGTTCGAGTCCTGGTTGCTCCACTTCCGATCCAGCTCTCTGCTATGGCCTGGGAAAGCAGTGGAAGATGGCCCAAGTCTTTGGGCCTTTGAACCCATGTGGGAGACCTGGAAGAAGCTCCTGGCTTCTGCCTTTGGATCAGCGCAGCTCCAGCTGTTGCAGCCATCTGGGAAGTGAACCAGCAGATGGAAGACCTCTCTCTCTGTCTCTATCTCTCTCTGTAATTCTGTCTTTCAAATAAATAAAATAAATCTTTAAAAAAAAAACCACTAAACCAAATGCATATGCCCATAGTTTTTTCATAATACACATTTCCAAACATTTTTGAAGATCCCTCACATGCATGCATTTCAAATTTTTTTGCATCAAAATAAATTTATCTTTAAATCCTATTTTCATGGACTTTTTCAAGTACCTTTGTAGAAAGCACCTGGCACATAATAGGATCTTAAATATGTTTTAGTTCTCTTCTTATCATCTCCCTTTAAATGGCAGTTTGTATGATGTCTGCTCTTTGAAATGAAGCATGTCTTCCATTTAAACCAGAGAAAGAAAGTTACTCTTCATGTTGCTTTTATCTACGTTCTATCATTACTAGGCAAATGTTCTAAAAATGGAGCTTTTTTTCCCATCTCTAATGTACTTATGACAGTTAAAAAAAAATGTTGGAAATGGGAAGGGAATTTTGTGCAGGGCTGGGAACAGAAAGAGGGTCCTTTATCAAAGAGATAATGAGGCATCAAGGTCAATATGGTGTTGGGGTCTATTTACAATTAGCCAGTTTGTCTAACTCTTGGGACCCTGCTGAAACCTTCCAGCAGCTGTAAGCATACCATCTCTCAGCTCTTAGTGGCATAAAGCTAATGTGGAAGTCAGCATTTGGACAAATTCCTTTGCACCGCTAATGCAGCGCCCCACTTCTCACCGAGCTGTTCACTTTTCACCAAAGCAAGAAAATTCAGGCAGTCTTCAAATGGTGGCTTTACAATCTTTCACAACTGTTTCCCCAGTACCTCTGAGTGGACCCAAACTGAGATGGAGCGAAAGAGCCCTGCTGGGAGAACTAAAGGTTATCTCAAGACCTAAAAATGTACCCTAGAATCCAAAGCCTTGCCCTGAGGCTGGGAGACGGCTTTTTGGGTACTGCTGCTCCATCCAGGATGAGTGGGCCGTGATTCAGAGACGAACATGGCATGGGAGGAGGAAGTCAATGTTTTATTCGTGGGTTGCTCAACTGTGCTGGGCTGTGTCATGCATAATTTGAGGCCGTTCCCAAGAAACTTCTCACAAATAAGGCTAAACTTGGCAAGTGATTTCCTTCTTAGAATACAAACTGTGGTAGAGCAAAGAATGAGGACCATGTTCACTTAATGGAAGAATAGCAAAGGAAATGGCAGATAATCTGGGATGAAATGTCTGGAGTTGAGGTTGCATCCGACTCTATCAGCCCACCTTGATTGCTCTCCTCTCAAAGCACCAAAGTGCACAGAACTAGGGATGGATTACATGGGTCTGCCGTACTCTTTTTTCTTTTCCTCAGGTCAACTTAGAACAACACTGCATGTTTCCTTAAGGCTTTGACTGTGTCTTCTTTTTACAAACGAAGAGACTGAGCCCCATGAAAGTGAAGTTTAGCATACTGTAGCAAAGGCCAGAATTCAGACCTCTTAACTCAAATGCTGGGCCTCTTTCCACTCTCCTACAATTGTGGGTCTCAGACTTCAGAGTGCACCAGATGCATGTGAAGGCCTGATTACCACACGCCGGCCAGGCTCGATCTCCAGACTTCTGGATTCACTGGGTCTGGGGTTGGGCCTCCGAATTTGCCTTTCTAACAAGTGTCCAGATGCTGCTGATACTGCTGGTGGTGGGATCACACTTGAAGAACTTCAGCACCGTACTCTACCTAATCAATCAAACAGACCTCCATAGAGACTGCTGCTTTCCAAACTCTGAGCTGATCTTTCTTCTTCAGCTTCCAAACCCTACAAGCAAATAAAAGGTGGCTGAAGTGATGGGAGCCAGGCGGTGACTCAGATTTTCCTGCCATCCTGGGCCAACAGCCCCATATTGGCTTGGTCAGATTCAGCTACTTTGGTTGTTCTCAAGATGGAAGCTCTGTACCCCATGGAAAACAGAGGCCTCACTCTAAATGGAACAAGGAGGAACTTCTTTTAGAGAGTGTCTTTCAGAGACAGCCTGCCTTGTGTTCAAGAAAAGCCAAGGGGGACCATTACCATCACAATTTTCAGAGTAAGGCAATATGTCACAGTGTTGGAGTGCACAGTCTTGAAGCTGAATAATCTTGGGAAAGTTATATTCCAAGCTTCATATTTAATATAAAGTATTATAATAAATGCCAACTATTATTATTACCATTAGGCTTAGGGAAAAGGAACACCCTGGTGCTAGAAGTCAGCACAAGCCCAAGGAGCAAGGTGCATTAGTTACTACTGACAAAGCCAGTTGTGATCAGGATGACAATGAGTGAGTCTTAACTCTGTGCTAAGTGCTGAATGCTTTATATGGATAATTTCATATAATTCCCACCATGACCCCCATTTTGTAAATGAGGAAACTGAGATGCAAAGTGTTCATTTGTTCAAGGTCACGTAAGTTGCCCTTGAACTTGAACTCATGTAGTCTGAGTTTTGAAACTCTGTCCTGGTTACCTTTAAGGTAAATTGCTCAATGGTCAATATAAGTGCAACCCCTTCACCATACCTTTGGCATAGAGGGTAGGAAAGTAGAAGGGATACATGAGTTACATGAGTAACACGGGAAAGTTTCAACCTTCTTCCTTAACCAAATTCTTACTTTCCTGAGCCCCTCTCTATGCTAGCCCCTGGTTTCCAAATAAACAGGATTTCAGGATAGATGCTAACTGGGTGTTGGTCTGGGACATAGTTGATGTGCTGATTACTAAGAGAAGGAAAATAAATAGGAATGAATTATCTAAAAAAGTAACCAGTTCCAAAGATGCTAAAATCAAGCAGAGATTGTTTCATCAAAGGGGCAAACAAATTTCTCTCTTCTCATGAAAAGCATAGCAAGTGCAGAAAAGAGCATCAACTCCTAAAGAAAGAGAGATGGAAGGTAAAGCCTTGGTGAGGGAATCAGAAGTGTCTCAGAACGTCAGAACTCACACAAGTGTTCTAGAAGAAGTTGCCCTGCTCCTTCTACTTACAAATGGGCCCTTCCAGATATAAATACCATTGCTGGAAATATCTGTAGCTAGTGTTTGAATTTCTGATTTTTTCTCAATGCCTCTACTTTCTGTGAGAACCCAAGGGCATGTCCATTACCTGTTTTTCCAACGGGACAGGGATTGGGAGGGTCTGGGTAGCCCTGATCATCACTAAAGTCCTTAGGAATGTTGTCACCAGTCAACTCTGCCACGATGTTGGGGATGTTGCCAAAAGGACCCAAGTGTTGCAGACCTTCGTGAGCTCCACCTGCAGGGAAATGAGAATTAGTTCACTGCAGTGCAGTTGCATTCATTTTAATTGATATTTATTCAGGCATAGCATAGAGGCAAGGCACTATGCTCTACACTGTAGGGAGAGAAGCAAAAAATGAAATAGCTCCTTTTCTCTGCTTTAGAAATGTAGTAGCAGATACAAACATGCACTATAAATACATCATTTCCACACAAGGAAAATTGTATGCATGCTGTAATAAGACAGTTAACTCAACATTATGAGAGCATGGAAAAGGAAGAGTTTCGTCTCTTCTTGACGGAGTTGGAATTTGAGTGGCACTGACACATATGGGTAAAGTTGTGAAAGCTGAGCATGAGGCACGGGACAGTGTTAGGGGCTAGAAAGGGAAGCCATTGCCTCCCATGAATATTAGGCTGAAAGTACATTAGAAAAAAAAAAGTGTATAAGAACAAGTAGTCATGATCATCATGCCATTCTAACTCAACCCCTTAAAATATGGATTATTTACCCTTTTCTTCTCTGTTTATTTTTATACATTAATGTTCGCTCATTTTTCATTTAATATTAAAGCATGGGCATCTTTCCATTTGTCTGCATTGTCTCAATTCCCATAATCATAAATGGCTATGAAGTTTTTTATCCAATGATTGAAACCAAGACATAATGGCCATTCCTCTCTTATGAGACAGTGTTTCCCAATTTACTTTAGACATTTAATATTTTCCATGCTTGGGATTAGTTTTCCTCAGTCTAGATTCCCAGAAGTGAAATGACTGGGTCAAGGCTATAAACATTTTCATGGCTCTTGATACTGCAATACCAAATTGTTTTCCGTAAGGAAGGTGCTGATTCACAAAATGCCACCAGCATAAAGAAAAGTGAGAACATCATTTTTACAACATCCTCACCAGCACTGGGTTTTACAAAAGTAAATTTCATGTTTTTTCCCCTAATTTAAGTTTAGAAAAATACAGCCAGACAAACATTTCCCCATGTATTTACTGGCTAGTTTTAATTGTGTGTGTGTGTGTATGAATTCCCTGTTTTTGCTCTTAGAATTATAATTTTCTCCTATCAGTTTATATGAACATTTTATATAATAAAGATATCAGGCCTTTGACTAACATTCAGCAAATGTATTTTCCCATGTCGTCTGACTTTGAATTTTGGTTATTATTATACTATTTTGCCAACATAAGTTTTTAATATTTTCGTAGTTAGATTTGTTGTTTTTAATTCTCTTTTGTGATTCCATCTCATCCTTCTAAGCTTACAAACTCATTGCCCCTTCAGTAGTAATATCTGGATATTTCTTTTAGTTTTGCTGTTTTATAAGTTAACTCTTAAATCCATATGCAATTTATTCTAGGGTATTTAAAATGGTTAATCAATTATACCATCAATATTGGTTAAAGAAGTCCAATGTTTCCCACTTACTTCATGCCTTAAATAAATATTGAAGTGCTTCATACTTACCAAAACCTGCTGAGCACCAAGACACAACTGTGAATATAAACAATTTTGATTGCTTAACTTGCTTTACTTTATATACAAAGGCACGTCACTTCGGCACCCTTTCTTTTTTGTAGCCTTAACATCCTGTAAGGTTTGGGAAGTTTTCTTTTCCAGCACCAGAGCGGAGCATTTCTTAGAAGCATTTCAGATTTTTCAATTCTACTGGGGCACAGGAGCCCCTCATTCATGGTTCCCCTTAATGCACAAACAACCTGAATATAGTCTGACGTAGGAAAAGCCAATTCAGAGGCCGGCGCCGTGGCTCAATAGGCTAATCCTCCGCCTTGCAGCACCGGCACACCGGGTTCTAGTCCCGGTCGGGGCGCCGGATTCTGTCCCGGTTGCCCCTCTTCCAGGCCAGCTCTCTGCAGTGGAGGATGGCCCAAGTCCTTGGGCCCTGCACCCACATGGGAGACCAGGAAAAGCACCTGGCTCCTGGCTTCAGATCAGCGCGATACGCCGGCTGCAGCGCGCAGGCCGCGGCGGCCATTGGAGGGTGAACCAACGGCAAAAGGAAGACCTTTCTCTCTGTCTCTCTCTCTCTCACTGTCCACTCTGCCTGTCAAAAATTAAAAAAAAAAAAAAAAGGAAAAGCCAATTCAAAATCAAAAGATGCTTTGGTGGACATGAAATTAGAGCCAAATCCAGCAAAAATAACTGCATTTCCAGCTCCACGAGAAGAATGGCATTGCCAACAAGCCAGACAAATTAAACCAGGAGGATGAGGCTCCCTTCTCTCTGGATGACCACTTGCACTTGCACTTGCATTTGTGTTCTTGGCTGAACCAAGCTCCTTTTGATTGACACTTTTTTTTTTTTCCTTCGGGAATGTTAATACTTCCAGTAGTACCTTGACTAGATCCCTGTGTCCTAGGAATCACATTGACTCTTTGAAGTCACTTTGTGTCACTTTCCATTAGTGATGTTTGATTGAAGTTTAACAATATTATCTCTTATAATTCTTCCAACACCCAAATTCACATATCACTAGTTTCTGGTTTTTTTACATTTAAATTTGTTATTCTATTGCTTTCATGACAGTGGGTAGCCTGCAAATTTTCTACACATTGGACTATCATATTTTGTAAATTTTTTCATGTGAGTATTTATTTATTTGTTTTGATCTTTTTTTTATTTAGTAAATATAAATTTCCAAAGTACAGTTTATGGATTACAATGGCTTCCCCCCCATAACTTCCCTCCCACTCACACCCCTCCCATCTCCCACTTCCTCTCCCATTCCATTCACATCAAGATTCATTTTCAATTCTCTTTATATACAGAAGATTGATTTAGTATATGTTAAGTAAAGATTTCATCAGTTTGCACCCACACAGAAACACAAAGTGTAAAATACTGTTTCAGTACTAGTTATACCATTACTTCACATTGGACAACACATTAAGGACAGATCCCACATGAGGAGTAAGTACACAGTGACTCCTGTTGTTGACTTAACAATGTGACATCCTTGTTTATGGCGTCAGTAATCTCCCTAGGCTCTAGTCATGAGTTGCCAAGGCTATGGAAGCCTTTTGAGTTTGCTGACTTCAATCTTATTCCGACAGGGTCATAGTCAAAGTGGAAGTTCTCTCCTCCCTTCAGAGAAAGGTACCTCCTTCTTTTCTGGCCCTGATCTTTCCACTGGGATCTCACTCGCAGAGATCTTTCATTTAGGTCTTTTTTTTTTCTTTTCCAGGGTGTCTTGGCTATCCATGCCTAAAATACTCTCATGGGCTCTTCAGCCAGATCCTAATGCTTAAGGGCTGATTCTGAGGCCAGAGTGCTATTTAGGACATCTGTCATTCTATGAGTCTGCTGTGTATCCTGCTTCCCATGATGGACCGTTCTCTCCCTTTTTGATTCTATCAGTTAGTATTAGCAGACACTAGACTTGTTTGTGTGATCCCTTTGACTCTTAGACCTATTGATCACTTGGACTAGTGAGATGGCATTTGTACATGCCACCTTGATGGGATTGTATTGGAATCCCCTGGCACATTTCTAACTCCACCATTTGGGGCAAGTCCAATTGAGCATGTCCCAAATTGTACATTCCTCCCTCTCTTATTCCCACTGTTATTTTTAATAGAGATCACTTTTCAGTTAAAAGTTAAACACCTAAGAATAATTGTGTGTTAATTACAGAGTTCAACCAATAGTACTAGAACAAAACAAAGAAAAAATACTAAAATGGATAAAGTATTACATTGTACATCAACAGTCAGGACAAGAGCTGATCAAGTCACTGTTTCTCATAGTGTCCCTTTCACTTCAACAGGTTTCCCCTTTGGTACTCAGTTAGTAATCACCAATCAGGGAGAACATACGATATTTGTCCCTTTGGGACTGGCTTAATTCACTCAGCATAATGTTTTCCAGATTCCTCCATCTTGTTGTAAATGACCAGATTTCTTTTTTTTTTTTACTGCTGTATAGTTTTCTATTGAGTACATGTCCCATAATTCCTTTATCCAGTCTACTGTTGATGGGCATTTGAGTTGGTTCCAGGTCTTAGCTATTGTGAATTGAGCTGCAATAAACATTAATGTGCAGACTGCTTGTTTGTTTGCCAGTTTAATTTCCTTTGGGTAAATTCCAAGGAGTGCTATGGCTGGGTTGAATGGTAGGGTTATATTCAGGTTTCTGAGGAATCTCCAAACTGCCTTCCATAGTGGCTTAACCAGTTTGCATTCCCACCAACAGTGGGTTAGTGTCCCTTTCCCCCACATCCTCTCCAGCATTTATTGTTGGTAGATTTCTGAATGTGAGCCATTCTAACCGAGGTGATGTGAAACTTCATTGTGGTTTTGATTTGCACTTCCCTGATTGCCAGTGATCTTGAACATTTTTTCATGTGTCTGTTGGCCATTTGAATTTCCTCTTTTGAAAAATGTCTATTGAGGTCCTTGGCCCATCTCTTAAGTGGGTTGTTGGTTTTGATGTTGTGGAGTTTCTTGATTTCTTTGTAGATTCTGGTTATCAACCCTTTATCTGTTGTATAGTTTGCAAATATTTTTTCCCATTCTGTCAGTTGCCTCTTCACTTTCCTGACTGTTTCTTTTGCAGTACAGAAACTTCTCAATTTGATGCAATCCCAAATGTTAATTTTGGCTTTGACTGCCTGTGCCTCCAGGGTCTTTTCTAGGAAGTCTTTGCTGGTACCTATATCTGCAGGGTTTCTCCAATGCTCTCTAATAATTTGATGGTGTCAGTTCATAGATTTAAGTCTTTAATCCATGTTGAGTGAATTTTTGTGTGAGGTGAAAGGTAGGGGTCTTGCTTCATGATTCTGCATGTGGAAATCCATTTTTCCCAGCACCATTTATTGAATAGACTGTCCTTACTCCAGGGATTGGTTTTAAATACTTGATCAAATGTAAGCTGGCTGTAGATGTTTGGATTAAATTCTGGTGTTTTTATTCTGTTCCATTGGTCTATCCATCTGTTTCTGTACCAGCACCATGCTGTTTTGATTACAACTGCCCTGTAGTATG